AGCCTCTATTATGAACACTAATAATAATAACAATAGCTAAACTTACATAGCACTTACTGTTAAATATATGCCTGACACTCTTCTAAGTGTTTTGTCTACATTCATTTATCTAATCCTCCAACAATTTTACCAAGTTGGTTCTATTATCATCCCCCACTTTTCAGGGGATAAAGCTAAGGCACCGAGAAGGGAATTGCCTGAGAAGGGAAATGCATTCACAGCTAGGAGTCTGGCTGCAGCATCTTTTTAGTGATTTGTCCTAAATTGCAGATCATAGACCCTGTCCTAAGACCTAGAATTTCAATGTCTTAAGTCAAATACACTTTTCCCTGTACTAAACTCTGCATTCCACTTTGACTGATTTCAGGTTGTTTACACCTTTCAAGTCTTGAGCTACTTACTTATAGAGCTGGTTCCGACTTCACTCTAAGGCTAACGTTAGAAATTCTCGAATTCTACCCAATTCTGATTCTGCCCTGGTTACCTACAGCCAACTGGCTGACTTAACTTCCTGGAGACATAATTTTCTAGACCAGCTTATTGGGAAATAATTTTACTGATCCGTTTCTGCACGTGGCATCGTGGGACAGTAGAAATCATCTAGGAAACACTCTCCATAGTAGATCCAGAAACTTGGGCTGGAAGGAAAGACCCAGAAGAGGCCTCTACAATGCCGTTCCCTTTTGGCAGAACTGCCCTGGACAGGTAAACTACTCTCCTACCTTTAAAGGCTACTCAGAAAGATTACTGCGACTCAAGACACAACCATCCTTATGTTTGATGACCTTTCACTGGCAGCAGGTTCCCTTTGCTAAGCTAAATCTTTCCTACGCAGTGTAATGATAAACATCCCTGAGTGCCTATGACGTACCAGGTGCAAAGAGTTCGATCTGCATTATTTCATTCAATCCTTATCAACCCTATGAGAGAAGTGCTGTCTTTATTCCCCTTTGGTGGATGAGGAAGCTAAGGACAGACAGGCCGAGTAACTTGCCCAAAGTCAAGTTGGCACAGTCTAGATATGACTGTATCTAGACTGGGACCCTCCAGAGGCCCAGTTTGTAAACACGATGGGCTGCCTCTTGGGTGAGGGTCCATTTCCTGTGGGCAGGACCCTGTGCCAGAGGGAAGGGCTACTTGCTGGGCTCAGGATCACAGGATTGGAGGCCTGTTATTGCATTGCCTCTTGTTTGTTTGTTTTTCTGTTTTAAACCGATAATTAGCTTTAAAAAGCCCTCAAGTCCACTGTTCATTGAGTGTAGGAGGTGGCTGATTGGGATGCTTTGGAGAGCATGTACATAATCACAGGCTGGAGTGGATGATGAAAGGCCGCTGCGGTCTCCCCTGCTGTGGGGCAGACATCCTGGGAGCCAGCTGGCCTTGTTCTGGGCCTGACCCCTGCGGTCCTGCTTTCCTGTGCTTTCATAATCCTGTGCTCACCTGGTCCCTTTGGCATCTCCAGTGCTCCCGGCAGCTTCCCGCTTCTGGGGGAGGTGTGAGGTGATCACACCAAAGGCCCACACCTGACTGCACTTACCTGTGCGCTCTGGTCAGCAGGCCTTGCTTCCTACCACTTCGGCAAGAGGCTCTGGGATTTTCAACCTTCCAGACCTTTAATCATCAAAGCAGGAACATGGTAGCTTTCCCATTCATGCAGAAGAAATGGGGCATGATGTTCTCAGCAGTAACTGTAAGTGTACCGAACAGCGTTTCTTCATGACTATTAAAATGAATTTACACTTATATATTTATATATATGCCTCAAGAATGGGATGGAACTTGCTCTACAAATATAATGTGAAGAATTACGGTGGACCTAGTTTTTTTTTTTAATTTTTGAGGAATTTAATTTTAAAGATGCTGTACTTTAAGTTATAAGTACTGTATGCTTTGCAGTCATATCCCCCTCCAATTGCCCACCCTTCACACTGCAGCCAGAATAATATTTCTAAAACGCACACCTGACCATGTCACCCCCTCCTCAAAACCCTACAATTCCCCATTACCGCCACGTTCAGTGTAGACTCTTGACCAGACGTGCCTGGCCCCGCAGCGCTCCAGCCATTCCTCTCTCCTGCGCCCTCCGACCTACACTTGGCCCACGCCATTCTCCCTGCCTCTGACACACCCCGTCCCCTCCCCAGTGCCAGGCACTTCGCCTTTGCCTGCCTGATTCCTCTTCGCCTTTCTGTGATCCTTGCTCGAGCCCCCGCCCCTCTAAACTGAGCCGGCAGCTCTGCGATGTGCCCCCTCCTCCCCCAATCATCCTTCATTGCACTCTGGTGTTTGTGTGGCTGTCTCTCTGTCAGCTCTGTGAGGGCAGACATGGGTCTGCCTCAGTCACCAAGGTATCCCCATTGCTGCACACAGGTTGTGGCAAACGGTGGCACTCAGTAAATATTTACTCTATGAATGAATATGTCAATGATATCTCCAAGATTTACTGAACTCCTGTCGGAACTTATGAAAGGATCACGCGGAAACATCTGATACCTGAAGCAGGCTGCTGTAGAAAGCTGTGGAAATAGACACACAACATGGTCCCCTTAGCCAAATTCCTTAGCTACTATCACCTGGAAGCCTTCCACTGCCTAACGCTCCTTGTATCACCCAAAGTGAGCTGTCTGTCTTCTTGCACATTCTGAGCTACAAGAATTCTGGTAACCCTACTAAGCCACTACCTGGGAGTTCTCAAAACGTGATTGTCTTGGTCTTATGATCAAAAGTGTCACATGTGCTCAAAGTGAAGCTGACACTAATGTATTTACTTCCTTAGCCACGGACTGAGAAGCACTCCTTTGACAGAGATTTTGGCTGCTTCTAGAAATCAGTTTCCTGTGGATTACAGCAGGCAAATATGCCCATATTTCGCACAGACATACCTGATTCCCTACCTGATGCCAGTAAAGCAGTGGTTTTCAAATCCCACTTTGTCCCCACCATCACCACTCACCCCAGGGGCAATGCATGGAGTCATTTTTGATTGTCATGATTTGGGAAGGGGCACTACTGGCATCTAGTGGGTAGAGGCCCAGGATGCTGCCAAACACCCTATGCTGCACAGGACAGTTTCCATGACAAAAAGTGATCTGGCCCAAAGTGTCAATATTGCCAAGGTTGAGAAGGCCTGGTTACCCAAGTCAGTAGCCCAAGGTTGAGGTAACACTCCATAGCCACCTTGGCTCACAAAAACTAGGCCCTATGTATCGGTGTGATACTTTCCAAGACATGTGGAAACAAAGAAAACAACAAGTGAAAAAGCAATTAAGAAGGCTAGGGCTCCGTGCTTGCCTACTATTAGAGAGATGTGTGTCCTGTCTCTCAAGAAGAATAATTAAGTTTGGGGAGTTTTCCCAGGTAGATCCCTGTTGTGGATCAGCGAATCGCCTATGGAAATCTCACAATGCAAAGCATTTAGCATGGAATTGAACAGATTCTTGGGTGTGAAAAGGAGTTTTGGTGAAATCAAAACCATATTTGTTTTTCACATTGAAAATGTTCAAGTTATTTTCTTTTCCTAATAGTATAACCATTTAGACAAAAACATCCATTTGAAATGCAGGTGAAATGTAAACTGCTACTCCTCTACATAGACAATCAAGTGTATTTATACTTAATCCATAAAGGCATGATGTTACAAAACACATTTGTATATTACGAAGCCATCTGGCATCAAATTTTCCAATTTATAGACAACTTTGTATTTACATAACAAATTATTAAATCAACCATTTTTCCGGTTTATAAAAGGTCACTGAGGTACACACACAGTGTGTATAAATGCAGATAAGGCTGATAATACATATTTACAGTAGATACAAATTAATCTTTCATATTTGAAGATAATGCTTTTTATATATTTTTTCTATATCAGACTCCCCACTGTTAGCAGGATTTCCCATGCTTGAGTTGTTTATTGCTTTTTGGCTCACTGATTTAATATTCATTTCTGGGTTGTTTACACATATGAATTACTAATGTTCTTATCTCTTTGGCTAATGCAAATGTGATAGAGTGAATGAAAGAAAAAGATAAACTATTTCAATATTACAGTTCTGGCTGGTTGATATTTTTTGTTCATGTCCTCCAAATGGATCAAGTAATGCACTACTCATTTTATATACTGCAGTGAAAAGTCTTAAATTATACCATGTAGGCATAAATAGGCAAAGTAAACAAGATATCAGATTTTGGATAAGGTCTAGTATCTTGGCTTTGTTATCAGAAAGAGCAACGCCACAAACATCCTAAGCATCTTAGATTTTAAAGTCTTAGTGCAAATATGTTTGTGACTTGCAAGGGAACACTGCAAACTGCATGGAAAATTACCAAGGTTAACAACAATGTGCCATCATGGTCTGAAATGAAAAAGGAATCACCTCATTGGATATGAGAATCTTCATAAAACTTACAGAAAGTGAAATAACTGCCTTCTGCTCTTCCCACAATTCTACTGTGTTATGTTCAAATAAGAAGGCTGTATTTACTTAAAAAACAGACAGAGCAAAACTCAAAGTTAGGGCCCAAATAAAAGACTGAAAGTGGCCCATGATATCACAAGGGATGAATGTTCTTCTTAAAGCATTTTCATACATAATGGTACGGAAAAGTACAAACCAAAAATGTTTCCTTAAATAAGTAAAAACCTGGGATTGCTTTTAATGCTACAAACATGACAAATCACACAGGAGCTACTTAATTTTCACTCATTGGAAATAATCTTTAAACACTACTTGGAGGTGTAGTTTATTCTCCTTGTGCTTCCTAGGATTGTTAAGGGATACAAAATAAAATCAGATTTACTTTTCCAAAAGAGAGACTATCCTATTATTTAAAGAAACAAAAGTTTTTCATTCTGTTTCTTTTCTTGGATTTATTTTTTTTTAAAAAGTTTATTCTAGGGAATAAAAAATTTACTAACATAGAAGGGCTAGCCTTCATTTTGAAAAAAAATGAATTTGCTTCAATACAAAGAGAAAGAAATGGCTCTATGGGCAAAATTGAAGTCTGAGTGACCAATTTTTTAATTGTAATGTAGGTGCAACATTTGAAAAAATGTTACAGCACTGCATGGCCTGTAATGCTAACAATATTTACATTAACTGCTTACATGAAACCATATAACTCTAAGAGAGACCAAAACAAACAAACAAACAAACAAAAACATGTGGACTGAAACAACTACACCTAACACCCACATCAAAGCCACAAGCAACCAGTGAAATCATGGGCACAAACATACTTTACATGGTCTACTGATGTAAAGTATACAATGTTTGGGAAGCACAAACCGAATTAGCTCAACATATAAAGAAGAAGGCGTGGTCAACACAAACTCAGTCTGAAGACAGAAATGCAAAGGCTAAAAAAAATCTGCATATCAACACACACACACACACACATGCAGACAATCCAACGTACATATATACGTCTGTGTGAATAAACACAACTGTGTTGAAAAGAACAGTAGAAAAGCAGTTTGGTGCAAAAAAAAAAAAATGGACATTAATGGTTTAAATATACCAAACACATCAACTTGTAGCGAAAATATGTCAACTGAGCTACACAAAAGATTACTTCGTGTGACCACATGAAGGACTGGGCAGGCAATCCCCATTACAAGAAAGACAAAGGAACCCACCCCCCTGAAGGAAAGGTTCCCACTTCCAGGCCATGAAGCCCAGGGTGGCCAGTTGTATTCCATCAGGGTGGTGGGTAGGGGTGAGGGTGGGAACGGAAGGGACAGAGAGACACAGGAGACCTAGGGGAATAACTAAGAGCTGTTGCTATCAAAAGTGAGCCCAGGTGGCATGCTCTGTGCTGTGGCCCCAAGAAACCAACTCAAGGAATGACCTTGGTCTCCTTTTTCCTGAGTTACTGGAACTCTGCTACATGACAGGAGTGAGGAGCGTGGTGAGTAGGTGGGAGAGGAGGAGTGGGACAGGTGGTGGGCATTTGGGGGTCCAGAGCCTGCTACTGGGGAACCTCCTAGCAGCCTGGGCGTTAGGCTGTTGTGGGAACCCCAGGCGGGAGGACAAGGCAGTGCTCTCCAGAGGTTTACGGGTTCGGAGTAGAGGCTGGGGAACTGGTGGTTCCAAAAATATAGGGATAATGGATCCCTTCTTTTGACAATCCATCAACTGAAGCTCCAGGCTAGAGGCCTGAGAATTCGCTTCACTGCCTGGAAGATCAGGTTATACCACCACCACAAAAATTGTGAAAAAAAGACGGAAAATTATGTTGTGCTACATTTCTTATTAATTACCTTGTACTTTACAATGGCTCACAGTTTTAGGTTTGTATACTTGTAATGTAGTATTTTCTCTCTACATTTGTTTCACATTTTTTTCTTACTTAATATAATATAAATAATTTGGTTAATAGATTTAACCTGCACATTTCAGCCACATTAATATATATAAGAATCTGTTAATGGTATAAATAATTCTTTAAATAAAATAAATCTGATATGTTACATAATACTGATAAAAAATTACCATTGCTAATAATTTTGTAAGCCACCTTAACTTCTGGGTTAAGTAATACTGAAGAATGGATATGAAACTTGCTTTCATGATTTGTATTTAGTTTTGCTACTACAAAAAAACTGAATTATAATCCACCTTACCTCTGACAATGGTTTCATAGTGAGGCTTTTGCCTGAACACCAGTGGTGGTGCAATAGAAGCTATCTGGTTCAACAGGTGGCTATCAAGTGTCAACTACAGAAATGGCTGAGTAAAATATTCCATCTAAGATTTTTTTTTATAAAACCTATTCTATTTTAAAACTTAGGTAAAAAAAATATGCAACAAATGGTTGCAGCTTCTGAATTCTTAATTTAGACCTGTGAGCCCTCATCCCTTTAGAAATCTTCAAGGTCGCAATTTCCTAGACACCCAAAATTGACTCCAGTGCTTCCAGGCAAGGTTCATTCCAAACAAACAATATAAATGGATACTCAGGGGTGCTCAGTGTATGTCATAATTCAGATATTACATCTTCATGCCTTTTCTCTGCTGTTAGATACAAAAACAGCATCTTTTACATTATCATAGAAAAGCATTTAGATTGTATTTTTATTTATCACTTTACACTGGTAGTCTCTGGTAGGTGTACTCCATAGAAACCAAAGAATTTTGTACACTATTTCTTTGTACAATAAAAGATAAAGTGTGCATTAGGTACGCTTGTACATGACAATATTGTACAATATTTACATTTCTGATATCACCATGAAATTCTGTATTTTCTATATACAACATTGAAAAGTCTTCAGAAACATTTGGACTCTTTCTTATAATCACAATTTTAGTATTATAGAAAAAAAGTTTCTCAGTAATCTCTGGACCATTTATCATTCTCATCATACAGGGATTTTGATTGGTTTTTCCAGCATTCATTATCCTTCCTGATCGAAAAATTTTCTATCACTGTTCTTTGAGCACCCTGTGGTGGTGGTAGCTATCTGCCATAGTGTAAATATTGATATAACAGTGGCTATATCAATACCTATATACAGATACATCTGTGCATGTTCCTTTGATAAACACTGCGCATTACTGGAGTAGTCTCTGTTATCTGGAGATCTTCCTCCTCTTGGGTTTGGGGGGTCTCATTTGTCTGTCTCCTTGTGGGATTTGGTGTACCTGGAAATAAAAACGTGGAAAAAGACAATATAGGTTGAAATTGCAAATACCATATGATTTCTGACAAAGAACAGGGTAGGGAACACACTCCGGCTTTTGCTTTCAATTATTGATATCCTGAGGCATTTAACGTTTTTACCAAACCACTAGATCTCAGTGTCACTACAAAGAATGAGGAATACTAGAAAATGATAAGCAAAGCAACCCTCTGGGTTCTCCAATAAACAATGCAACACAAAGGATGAACTGGAAACAGTCAAATGTGGAAAATGTAATGTGCAGTTGCTACCTCCACTGTGCATTTGAAACAAAAGTAAAGCCTTGGCTGTCAGAGATCCCTAGATCACCAATTTCACTGTAGCCTGGAAAAGTGGATAAATACATACCAAACATGCTTTTTTTTTTTTTTACCTTATCACCCTACTTACTTTACAACTACTAAGATGGGTCAAAGATTATAAGAACATGCACATAGCTCAGCCCAAGGACGTTTGTTCACGAGACAAATCAGAAAGGAAAATATTAACTGCACATCACTATCATCTGTTGGCAGATCTGTGCCTGTATAGTTTGAGAAGAGCAATTAATACAACTAACTCATCTTTATATACTAATTCAGGAACTGGCAGCATGAAGTGCTGTTCATCAGATTGAATAGGAATTGAGCAGTATCAGAGCATTAGCTCAAAGGTATGGTTTGGAAGGGTGGTGGGGGTGTGATCAGGAGCCCCACATTGTAGTATGGCTACCGATGGGAGGGGGCAAGAAGACCCAAGACCCAGGAAAGGCAGGATGGACACAGGGCAGTGGTATAGCAAATACTTCACCAGCGTTCGGACACACGCCCATTTGCCAATTTCTGTGGTGTAAATACTTTCTCCATGGCCAATTTCAAGCTACCTATCTGATGTCACAGAACTTAGAGTTAGGAAGAGATGTGCACAATCAGCTCTCAAGACCCACTAAGAGTTTGCTCAGTTATATGTTTTAAAAATAATGTTTAGAAAACAGCAAAGGCCAATGATATTCAGAGTCAAATGAAGAACTCTTAAAAAATAATATTAAAAAGTTTAAAATAATGTTTATGAATTTCTCAATTTGCCTATTACTCCTAATCCTCTCTATATACAGTTTTAAAAACTGCTACTCTCTGGTAAAGAGCCATAACTTAAAACTTTTTATAATTAAGGAAAGAAGTCTTTATCCAAGTCTGCAAACTAGTAATCTGTAGACCAAATGTGGCCTGAAAAGGCACTTTGTTTGGCCATATGGCATTTTCAAATTTTAAAGAATAGTTGTCAACACCTAAAAATGAGAAATTTTACCTTTGGACTTCTATCTTCTCATGAAAAATGGGAAGATCTTGCAACACCAGCACAATTTCCCACATGTCTAAGATCTGATGGAGCATGGAAGAAGAAACTCCTGGAGAGAGCACATGCACCCCTGCCCCCCTAGGTTGCTGAGATCTTTATCACTCTTGACTGCCTGCTGGCCACAAAGGGCAAATGTCCTGAGGCAGAGACTATTGAGATGATTGCCAACCCCTTCCTCTCTTTTTCCTGGGCAGGCACATTCTGTACTACATTTCCTAGTCCACTTGAGTTAAGGAGGCCATGTGATGGGGTCAGGCCAGCAGAAAGTCAGCAGAAGTAAAAAGCTTCCAGGCCTCGTGCATAAAGCCTATGCTGCCAGTCTTCTGCATGCACTCTTCTTTCACCTGCTGGGCTGAAGGCAAAGGGCATAATGGAGCACTCGGAGGTCCTAAGGAAGGGTGGACACTACAGATAGAAAGAATCTGGGCTTCTGAATGACTGTGCAAAGCAACTCCTTCCTCAACCAGCACCAGACTCAAGTGAGCGATGGCTTTCACTGCACTGAGCCTGTGAGACTGGTATCCTACCCTAACCCCTGCATTTTCACTGGCATTTCTCAGTCCACTCAAATTGCTGTTTTTCCTATACCTGATCCACTTTACTTATTGACATTATTTGCCTGGCCCTAGAAGACATTTGAGTTTATAATCCATTCCCGCTCTAGACTTTTAAAAAACATTTTATCAGGAAATCTAATGCCTCAGGGCTTCATTTCACCCATCTGTGAAATGGTAGTTTGGATTACAATATTTCTAAAGCTCATACAAATCCTAACGTTCTGTGAATCTATGACTTATACCTATCATTCAATTGCCATTGGTTGGATTGTTGGGATTCAGATAATCTTGTAACACAAAGTGTCAAGTGAAAAAAATTACTCTTCATTGCTAAATAGCCTTAGATAATTCACATTATTTAAGAGATTTCCAAAATTATTTTGAGTGTCTGCATCAGCCAATGTGTGAATTAGAGGATGACTAAACTTCTCACATTCAATGCTATTATTAATATATGCAAGTTCAATAAAAATGGGAAATGACAGGTCTATATACTCTTGATCTTGACTCTACTGTTCAATTTTACTTTTTTGTTCAATGGACAGAGTGACATATATTGTATATTTAGGCAACAGTAATGGCCTCTGCTATTCCCAGAGTCAAATGCAGAAAGCTGTGGTTTGAACTTCAGTATTTTGCTGTTCACATTTTAAAAGAATGTTATGAGGGAAAACAAAAGTTACTTATCTCTGAAAAAAGACATAGTTAATATGGCTAGGTTATTTTTTCTTAAATGACTTTGAATCTTTTTTGATATTAATCTTTTTTTTCTAGCCTAGTAATTTAGTATTGCTACGTGAGTTGCTTGACAATATTCAAGAGACTTTACCAAAAAGCGTAATACAATTTATTTTCAAAGAAACACAGTATAATGGAAAAATAAATTAACTTACAGTCCCAGACATTTTGTCCAGTTCACTCATGGCCTCATGAATAGCAGCTTCTAAATGGTTATTTAGCTTTCCACTTCTGGAATTAATGAAAACAACACACTCGATTAGTAAATTAAAGAAACAAAATCTCAATTTAATTCCCTAATCAGAAAACAAAAGTACCAATTCCACCAGAGAAAGCCAATTTATATTCACATTTGGAAAATTCAGATGACAAAACAGCACTCTAGGATTTTCACCACTGAATACTAATGATTAAAGTCACAGAACCACTAAAAATCACAAATGAACAGATTGGGGGATGGGGAGATGGATTCTTTCCCCTTGCACATGTTTCTTCCATAACCTCGTGATTTGGGAAGAAAGCTGGGCCTGGGGTCCACCTTCCCACCGGTGCAGCCTGCCCTGCATTGCCTCTTGTCTCCGCCGGGCTGCGTGGCCAGGGGAAGGGCGGAGGGCTGAACTGCAGGCTCTGGCCACTAGGGAGCTCTCTCTGCCCTCGCTGGAGCCTCTCCGGTCTGGAGTGGAGCAAGTGAAGGCTGAAATCCTGGTGCAAGTTCCAGGTGGGAAAAACAGCTGAATTCACCGCACCTGAGGCTCCAAGCCTGGCCCCTACCACATTTCCCCAAACACCAAAATGAGGTTACTATTTGAACAGAGAAAGAATGCCGGTCTCAGGGTCTCAGGGTGCCTATCACTCCTCTGACCTTTCCTCTCCACTTAGCATTCCATTACGCTTGTTTGGACTAAATAACACACACGGTACATCTGCCATTTTTGAAACTTACATCTATGAAGCTGTTGAACTAAAATCAGACAAATCTACCCTATCCACATCTGTGGTTATGTACCCTTGGCCCATCCCGACTGTGAACTTGTTTTTCCTCCTTTGTGCATATAAATAATTGCACAGTTATTCTGAGTACGAAGGTGATTCATTTCACTTACGCTGTCAGGACAATTACTAGAAAAGCTGCGGGAGCAAAGGTTTGCATAACAAGCTGTGAGCACGGTTTTCTAAGGGTTAAAGCCTATCTCCACATCTGCATGGAGCCTGGAAATCTGCAGTTGTGGGAGAAGTTGGCTCATAGTTTCAATTAGTTTGGCTAGCATAGTGTTTAAAAACATTTTTGAACTTTAGTGGAATGTCTGCAGACAGGGCCTTTTGGTTCCTCACGGCCTTCACTAGGTTTTATTATCATGCACCAGGATGGGTCAATTCATACATTTAGTTTCTGTCTACACCTTACAGAACTCTGAGTTTTCCACCCCTAAGTACTTACACACTGCCAGACATACCATAGATGCTCTACATATTTGCTAAACAAAAATATTTGTCCAAAGCTGGCATGGATGATCCTATGTTTTGAAAAACATACATGTACATCAGTTAGTTTAACTGAAAGGAAATATTAGTTTATTGGTTTTAACCAAATTGTAAGGGTAGTATGGCACCAACCCCCTTTCCCTCACCTTTTTTGGGCATTGTAAGCTAGCCTCTAGCTTTCATATTTATCCCATTTATATTTAGAAGTTTAAAAATACTGAAGTACATAGAAGAAAATAAAACCTAACATCCCACTTCCCAGAATGAAATGTTAATAAATTACATATTTCCTTTAAGTCTTTTTTATTTAAAAAAAACCCAAGCTATAGTTTCCATTTGTTATCAATCCCCTGTCCCATTCTCTCCTACCCTCCCTCCCTAATTTCTATTCTGTTTTTGAATTTTATAAGATATATCCATGAACAGTACCTAGTATTATTTTATGTTTATACATATATATATTATATATATACACACACACACACACACAAAAGGTGTCATGATATACATACTTGCCTGTTTTCCCTTACCACTGTTTTTGAACAGTATCCTAGTTGATATACAGTATTCATTCCTTCCAAATGGTACATGTAAGTATTTCATCATATACATGCTGTCTTTACCTTATTTACCCACTCCAGTTTTAAGGGGCCCTGGTCATCTTGGGAAGTCTGAGTTGTTTTCCCAGTGAGGAATCTGCTAAGCAAGACCCTGGGTGAGTGGGTAGGAATCCAGTCCCAGGACTCTGCAAGGCCATCTAAGTTTCACTGAGGTTGGGCTGGGGCCCCTTTTGTGGGCTGCTTGGCGAGGGTCCTGATTGTATCATCACTGCTGAGTTGCCCAAGAATATCACACTTTGTGTAATGTGTTAAATAGATTTATCCCTATTATTTCTTTTGTATTGAGAAGTATGAACGTAAGTTTTAAAAGATATTTGTTATGTATTTTGATTATAAGACCTTATGAGTTTAAAATTGACTAAAATTCTAAATATCTAAAAAGAAATCACTATGTTTCAAAATTTTTACCTAACTATACAAAAGTGCAATAACATTACCATCAAAGTACAAAAATGATGGTGGGGTGCAGTGGCTTATGCCTGTAATCTTAGAACTCTGGGAAGATTGCTTGAGGTCTGGAGTTTAAGATCAGCCTGAGCAAAAGTGAGATCCTGTCTCTACTACAAATAGAAAAAATAAGCCAGGCGTTGTGTCCCAGCTAATCAGGAGGTTGAGACAGGAGGATCACTTGAGCTCAGGAGTTTGAGGCTGCAGTGAGCTAGGATGATGCCTGGGTGACAGAGTGAGGACTCTGTCTCAAAAAAAAAAAAAAAAAATCAACAATATTATTTATTGAAGGAAAAGATAGAATTGTAGGAGTTTTGTCATCTCATTCTTCAACACGATATTTAAAATATTTGTAAACACCTTACATTAATTTAAGCTAAAGTAGTAGAGTGTTTTAACAAATTTAAATAGTTAATAGAGGGAGAAATGACTACTTCTGGAAGAGAGGATAAATACATAGATGTGAGGCATGAAATTATCTGTATACATCATGAGATCAAGAGGTAAAGAGAGACTCTCTCTGGTTTCAAATCTGTAGATCAATTTCTACAGTAACTAGTCAGGTCAGGGAAGAAAAAGCTCCATGAGTTCAAGAAATGAACAATTAGCCGGGCGTGGTGGCTCACGCCTGTAATCCTAGCACTTTGGGAGGCCGAGGCGGGCGGATTGCTCAAGGTCAGGAGTTCGAAACCAGCCTGAGCGAGACCCCGTCTCTACCAAAAATAGAAAGAAATTAATTGACCAACTAAAAATATATATACAAAAAATTAGCCGGGCATGGTGGCGCATGCCTGTAGTCCCAGCTACTCGGGAGGCTGAGGCAGTAGGATCGCTGAGCCCAGGAGATTGAGGTTGCTGTGAGCCAGGCTGATGCCACGGCACTCACTCTAGCCTGGGCAACAAAGTGAGACTCTGTCTCAAAAAAAAAAAAAAAAAAAAAAGAAATGAACAATTAGTCAAAATTCAGTCTTCCAGTCCAGAGGGCCTCCCTGTGGAGTTTCTTCTACTATTTTCTATTCCCTGCTGACATTTAATGATAAACATTTTTACTAATGGACACTCTAAACCCTACTTGATTAAGCAATAGATGTTCATATAATCACATGTCTAATTATTAATGGAGATAATTGCCACTTCTCATCTTCATGGCCTATATTGTCACACATCATCCTTATCGTCACTGATAAGGATGATGAATCACTGATAAAAAATAAAAAGCCAGGTACACATCTGTGAATGGTACAAGGAATAAGAGGGAAACGAGAAACTGCATTTTGTTCACACTGTCAATTTAGAATTTAAGTGACTCACTTTATGTAGAACAGAACAGATTTGAATGAGACCTAAAAACCAATACTCTGAAAACCTAATATAGAGAAAGTATGCAGATTTAAGAAAATTTAACATTTTCTTGTGAAAATGAAAAGTATGATTTCACTCTTGTGAAAAGTGAAAGTATGATTTAATTAATCTCTTTATCATTTTCCAGATTCATAAAAAATCAGATTTCCAAAGAAATTTATATGTACCTATAGACAGAAATCATTCTATTACATGGAAATCACAACATATCTAAAAGCTATGGATTTTTTCTTTTAGTAAAGCTATTTTGCTTTTAAGTACAAAATTATCCTAAGTAATCTGTTAAATATGTTAATATTTCTTATGTGATTAGGATGTAATTAGAACATCAATTTAAGGATATTTATTTACTGTATAATTTGATTGAAGATATTGAGGATTAAAATGACTACATAAAGTTCTAAACATCTAATATGGTGGTAGAATGTTTCAATTGGCAAAAATATCAGATAATTTTGTTTCTTTCATCTTTTCCTTTATAGTAAAAATGGCTATTTACTAAATACCATGTGCCAAGTACTGTGTTAAGGTGTTCTCTCTGTTATCTATAACGATCCTAAAGTAGGAAATTATTATACCCATTTTAGAAATGAAGAATTTATGCTCAGAAAAATTAAGCAACATACTCAAAGACACACAGCTATGAGGTGGTAGAAACAGGATTTAAACCCAGGTCCAAAACAAATCTATTTCTTTCTTTCTTTCTTTTTTTTTTTTTTTTTTGAGACAGGATCTTACTCTGTAGCCCAGGCTACAGTGCAAGTGGCATGATCATAGCTCATTATAACCTCAAACTCCTGGGCTCAAGTGATCTTGGGTCACCTCTAGAGTAGCTAGAACTACAGGGATGCGCCACCACTCTTGCTAATTTTTCTTTTTTTCTTTTCTGAAGAGATAGGGTCTTTCTATGTTGCCCAGGCTGGTCTTGAACTTCCTCCCTCAAGAAATCCTCCAACTTTGGCCTGCCAAAGTGCTACATGCCACTGCACCTGGCCTAAAAGCAACCTCTTAATCATCTTGTTCCAAACACCACCTTCTGTTTTCAGCCTTTTCCTCTTTTCTTCTTCCCCTCAGTAAAAGCAGTCAAATTTTTGTGGTCTAAAAATTTTTCCATTGTTATTTTTTAGGAACTTTTTACATTGAAGGTAGAAAGAAGACTAAATAATCTACATAGCCTCTCTCTACTTCCTTATTCTTATTCATGTCTCAACCCATGGCCACGTTGCCTACCCTCCATTCTACGGCAAACTGTTCTCACTAAGGTCACTGGTGGCCTGCAAATTACCCAATCTGATGTAGAGTTTTCAGTGCTTGTCTTACTTGACCTCTGTTGATCATTTTATCACCCTGGAAATTTTCAGTCTTGACATCAAAAACCTTCCTTCCCATCTTATTTGTTCCATCTATTAAATGTTCAATTATCCCGCATTCAATCCTTAGCCCACTCTCTTTCAAATTGGTCAAAGTATCTCTGTGTGACTGCAGCCATTTGTATACCATTGAATACCATTTCTCCCCAGTTTCAGACTTGTGTGTCTAACCTATCCCACAGGCACCCCAAACTGCACTCAACAGTCCCCCTGTATTCTCTTTTAAGTCAGTGTTTCTACCATTCACCAAGTCACCAGAGCTAAAAACCTCAGAGTTGTTCCTGATTATTCCCTTTTCTTTACATTCTGATCAATTACCAGGTTCTGTCAATTTTACCCCCTGTGTATTTCTTGACCACATTCCTTCTCTTCCATCTTCATTGCCCCCTCTTGGTTTGGGTCCTCATCCTCCCTTGTCTTCTGCCATGGCCCCTAAACGATCTCCCTGTCTCCAATACTGTTCCCTTAAAATGTGTTCTCCTACGCAGCCATACCTAAGGTGAAAACCCACCCCCCAGCCTCTTTAGGCACCTCCAGTAAAAGAAAGGATCCTGTTGGCCGTTACTAGGCCCGCCATGATCTGCTTCCTGCTTACACCTCTGGCCACATCTCTTACAACTTCCTATCTGATACTTTACAGTTCATCAAACCCAACTGCTGATCTCATCTGAACACTATGCCACCCCACCTTTGTGTCCTTTGTGTGGCTAGTACTTATGCAGTATGTTAGGCTTGGCTCAGATACCATTTCCTCTGGGAACCCTTGCTTTACCTGGGTTTAATGTCATTTCATTTCTCTATGATCCCCAAATACACCGTTTGTGTACACGCACACACACACATGCACACACACACATGCACACACACACACACACACACACACAGAGCTGTCACTGCAATTTTTACATTTTAATTATTTGTTTCTGGATCTGCCTCTTTCACTAAACAGTGAGCTCCAGGGACTATGGCACAGTGCCTGGCACAGATTTTTTTTTGCTAAATTAGCCTCTTTAAATTGGGAATAAATGAATAAATTAAAAAATGATTTGGTTCAACATATCATTTATGAGTTATGTGACTTTTGACTAATTATTTAAGCTATTTAGGTATGAGTGTCCTCATCTGTAAACGGGCTAAGTAATTCTGGCCCATCTTATGATAGGGAGAGTAAAATAATGAATTTGAAATCACATGTGCAAAATGTAAAGCATTCTACAGGGCATCTACATGGCAAGTCAGTCTGCTTAGCCAAGAGTATGGTAAATAAAGCTGTCTTTACTAATGTTTGCTTCATCTTTTCTTCTTTTACTTCTCTAATCCATACTCTTAAGTTTATGGTTTTCATGAGGAGACTTTCTTTAGACAGTGCCCACATTAATTGGCTTTGAAGAAAAAATTTTTTAAAATTGTGGTTTGCTACTCATTATCTTTCAGAAATTGCTGAGTAGCAAGTATACAGGAAAAATACAGCTCATTTCAAGGCAGGGTATCTAAATATTTGGAGGAGTTATTTTATTTCTGTGTTACTAGCTCTGGTTTGCACGTGCTCCAAGTAACTGGCATACTTCAGTGAAAGAAACATTTTAGGGATCTTCTACACCAAAAAAATGGGAACTGCTGAATATTCTACAGCAAATGACTCTCTGCAAACTTATGAGGTAGGTAATTTGCAACTTTCTTCCTTTCATCCAGACCTTGTATTAATTTTACTGGTTTTATCCTGTTACTTAGGTCTGCATAGCAAACGTCACTTCAGTAAGAGTAGAAGGGACTTTGCTCACTGCGTTACTTATCAGATCTAGAGGGAAGTTGTCTGGCAATTCACTGGGCCGTTGCCACAACACCAGTGCCAATTTGCTACCTCCCAAAGGAGTCCCTGACCAAGGGGCACAAGAGTCTGCCCCTTGTGGTTGTCATCTCTTTATTGAGGTGAAAAGTCTCCCCAAGATTTGTTGACTTCTAAAATTTGGCCTCTGGCAAGAATGATTGGAAACAGCACAAAGGGAAAGAGAATGTCTTTAATAGATATTACTAATATCGTCATATAAGCCTTTTATGCGAGATACACTACTAATCATTCTGATATCTACTTTATAAATCTTGATGTACAAACATAAGTTAAAGTGACATTTTTAAAAAGATGATAAGGTATAAAACATTAGGCCTATGTATCAATCGTTGAGGGGAAATGTGAGAACCATTTTCCAAATGAATAAAAATTAATTAATATTTAATTCTTGGTTGTTTGCTAATGTGGAAATTGTAGTAACTGAAGAGGTACGTCAATTATATATTTTAAAATAATTTTCTTTGTAGATGTACAGAAGCACATTTGTAATTCTCTACCTTATTATTAAATAATAGTCATGATATATAAAACTACATTTATGACAGCAAAAATTATGTTTCTAATATTATCAGCTTTTCCATACTACATTTACTCAGAAAATAAAGATCCAGAAAAACCTGAATAAAAATGGCCCAAAGTTCAACTTTTTGTTATAATTCCAAAAAGAAAACCTATTTTCGAGTCCACGCCCCTGCTGTGACAACAAAAATCATTACTTAGCATCACTATGACTATCAGTTAATCTGCCAAAATTATTTACACGTGTATAACTGGGGGTATTTCCCCACCAAAGTATTTAAATGCAAATGGATAGACTCACTACACTTCCAGATCCTATTTAATTGCCACATGTTGAGGATATTTATCATATTTTCTCTTTTACTAAATGAGAAGAATAGAGATGGAGGGAGTGAGGAAAGAGCTGATGAAGAGACAAATCCAACACATACCGTAAACATAAACTGTTAAGAAAATATTTTCTGTAACAGCTAATTTGCCTTATCTATAACAGTCCTCTTTGGTGATAACTATTAAACAGTACTCAGGCAGCCCACAACATGGACAGAATCAGCAGAATCAGTGAGATTTCACTGCCCCTTTGAAGGAAAACCAGTAAATTATATCCTTGAAAAATAAAATGGGGAAAAAAAGTGCTTACTTTCTGTTTCTTTTCCGGACTCGGCTGTAGGCTTCCAAACCTTCTGTTAGTGTCTTCAACTTCTCGGGCTCCACCTGAGTGAAGGTATGAAGACCAAACCACATTACCCAGACCTGCAATTGTTAAACACGGTTTTTACTTTGCTGCTGTACAGGCAGGTGACGCACGGGTGAGGGGGGGGGGCTTTAACCTTCACTGCCCTGTCACATGTTCTGTCCTCACTCAGTCATTAGAGGCTGATTCTGTGGCTCCAGCCCGTGACATCAGTGCAAAGGAAGGACTGTTTGGCTTTGAAATAGTCAACATTTGGAAAATAATGTTTTGGGAACAAAACCTGGAATTTAAATAACCTTCAATTCACAAAATCATATAAATGGGAGATCCTGGTTCACTTTCTTCACTGCCTGATGCTCAGCAACTGCAAATCTGTAGAATCCTGTCAAAGGAAGACGGACAGTGATGCTCAGTGAAGGGGGTGGGCTTTGGAGCCAACAGATCAGAGTTGGAATCCTACCTCTTCACTTCCTAGCACAAGTAAAACACTTAACATTTTCTGAGGCTCAGTTTCCTCCTCTTTAAAATGAGGACAATGATACCTACCTTCCTGCTAGAATTGCTGTGAGAATTAAAATGTGACAGGTTGTGTTGAACACCTAGCCTAGCACAGAGCAACTGTCATGATTCAGTGTGCATCTGGCTCTGCAGCGGCCACAAAGCAAGTGGGGGAGCAGGCCATGCATGGCCCGTCCCCATGTGGGAAAAGGGTGTTGCTATACCTATGAGCATGTCCTCTGTCCTGTCCTGCTTTATCACTGTCAGTCTGTGTGAAGTCTGCCATACCAACAGAGCTTGGGCACCAAGTGTGGCTGGGAAATTTGTGCCTGTGTGTTGTGGGGGAGGGGCACAGCTTTTGCCACGCCCACCCTCCAATAATCTCTGTCATGGTTCTTGAAGTCACTCCCCTTAAGAAAACCAATTAATAACAATCAAGTAATAATTAGGAAAACTTGAAGACTTGTGACTAAAATCACCTTTAGGAAAAACATTACTATTTTTATTGATCTGTAAAAAATTTTTTAAGAAAAAACAAGTGTTGCTTGCTGTGTAAACAGCCTCAAGGCAAGGACCCCGGCCGTTCTCTACCTCAGTTTCTCCCCCATCCTAAGACACTTTTGTACAGAATTTCAGTGTTCACCAAAATGCCTCATGGGTAAAAGCAAAGAAATTATTATTAACTTTTGTCTTTATATAGCTTCATGACTGACTCATGAACATCATTTATAAATAATTTCTCTATGACCCCTTTGAATCTAGTATACAGTGATGATTAACAAAGGGTTTCCATTATCAAGTCTGAAAACAAGCATTTCTAATTCTTCAATAAGAAAAATAGTCAAATAATGGAAATTTTTTCCTTTTCATGTACGTTTTTTAAATTTATTACCTTTACTGGTTTGACCTTCTCATATTTTTGTATTTTTGTCCTAAAGAATCCAAATATCTTACACACACATGTTCGTTGGAGATCCCTGATTCATTGTGTGCTTGAACAAGAGACAACTTTGTTCCAATAACACTTTAGATGAAAAAAAAAAAGTGTCCTATTGGGCTACAGGGATGACTAGAAAAGCTTAAGTAAGCTGAATGTAACCATGTGTTGTTAAAAATATTCCTGGATACATTTTCACATTTCATGTTAGAAATGCGTTTCCATCATGTATTCACTAACATGAAGGGGGTATGAAAGATGTTTTGCATGTTACATTTATGTAATCAATAACTAATTCCACTTATATTTAAATGACATTCTTGGCAGTAGGAAGGAAGTTCTATCAGACACAAACTGGCGTAGTGAGAGATCTCAGAAGGTGTTGATCGGGCCACACAATGCAGAAACAGAGCAAGACAGCAATGAAAACTTACCCCATTGGTCTTATTTTTAAAAACAAAGTTAGGTCAAACTATTTTTTTAAGTCTTCAGTTTTTATTTTTAATTAAATAAGGAATAAGGGTCAGTAAAAACATTTTTGTGCATTTATTATGTAAAAGGCACTGTTTTATCATTTAATAAGATAATGCTGTAAACTAGTATTATTTGTGTATTACAGATGGGACTCAGTGAGTTTAAGTAACATGGCCAGAATTGAAACTCAGGTCTCACTCCAAAGTACTCAACCTCTCTCCATATGCCAGCTCCAACATACATTGAAATATACAGTCATTTTATATATATAAAGCTTATATATATAAAATTACACACACATATATATATAATATATACACACAGGCACACTCAAAAACTGAGGTCAAACTATTTAAAATTAAATTGTATTTTTACAGAAATTTAGATGACAACTTGCCCAAATTCATCATCAAAATTCTTTATGCTTGGATAATTGTCCAGTTATATTTTTCTGAACTAATTCTCTACTATTTTTTCTTCATTTAAATCTGTATCTAAGGTTCTAAGGTACTCTCACAATGAGCTATATTATTTACAAAGGATTCAATGACCTCAAAACAGAAAGCAACAGGTGTTGCTTTCTGAAACTAAATATAAGATATACACCACTGTGCATTTCCAGTATGGCAAAATCATATATATCTGGAAGAAAATGTTTAATTTATTTTGTTTTAGAATTTTAATACTTTATTGTGAAATATAAATATATATGAAGAGTGTGTTGTTTTGGGGGAAATATACTTGAACAATATGCAAGAAATTATTTAAAGATACCCCAAAAAATGGTATCAGAGAAGAACAAAAAAAATTCAATTTCTAGTCAAATAGAAATCATATTTAATAATGTAATGAACATTCCCCTGTAAATTACTTAGCTAACTTGTAAATCAAAAAAGTACTGAGAAATCAAATACATAAATGTGACTTTAAAAAGGTCAAACACAAATATTTTTATAAAATTTACACTGAAGGAGCAATTTAAGATACTTAATACTTTTATCTATAATTATAATCTTACATTTTTGTACATTCATAAGCCAAGAGTTCTATAAATTATTTAATTCCTATCTTCATGAGAATTTGGGAGAGAACTTTATAATTTATCTTTACTCATAATAATCTCAGTATTACAGTTTCATCCTAATAATGCTAATAGTAATGGCCAACATGGTATAACTCTTTACACATATGTCTTTCAAGAACTATAAAAATATACCTGGAATTATATGTACTTATAGTTCACATATTACCTCATGTCTAAATATACACATACGTTAATATTTTTGATTCCTCAAACTCTTCTTTAATTCAAATTCTTTATATATAATAATTCTTCAACACAAATGGTCTTACAGTTGGTTCAGTGGGGTTAGAAACATACTCAGAAAAAGCCAGACACTATTATATGGTACAGGATTAAGAGTTTTTCTGGCCAGGCATGGTGGCTCACGCCTATAATTCTAGCACTCCAGGAGGCCGAGGCGGGCAGATCGTTTGAGCTCAGGAGTTCGAGACCAGCCTGAGCAAGAGTGAGACCCTGTCTCTAATAAAAATAGAAAGAAATTAATTGGCCAACTAAAAAATACAGAAAAAAATTAGCCAGGCATGGTGGCACATGCCTGTAGTCCTAGCTACTCAGGAGGCTGAAGCAGGAGGAATGCTTGAGCCCAGGAGTTTGAGGTTGCTGTGAACTAGGCTGATGCCATGGCACTCTAGCCCAGGCAACAGAGTAAGACTCTGTCTCAAAAAAAAAAAAAAAAAAGTTTTTCTGAATACTGCTGAGTCTCTGGTTGCTTATTTGTTTATTTTGTTCACAAAACACATATTAAACATTTGGAAATTTAATTAAATTTGATTTGGAGTCAGCACCATGGCACCTTCTATATCTCAGAAGTAACTTAAAGTCTGTGACAAAAGGAGACACAAATCTTTCAGAGAGCCAAACCAACCTTTGAAAGTAAGGTATAGTAGATATTAGAAAAACCTGGATCAATGATAGAGCTAGTTCACTAGAGATGATGCTAAAATTTCCTGCAGGCTTTAATCCTTTAATCTTTGTGAATCCTTTGCTGCTACTTAGTGTTGAGGTAAAGCTGTCACACAAAGGTCAAATGATGGAGCACAAGCTACATCACAGATTTCATAACAGAGATAAGACATTGACCTCAAGCTACCCTTTTCATTCTTCACTTCCCCATTCCTTTTCTAGAATGTCCTGTTGTGGGGGATGGTATAATGCAAAGAGTGTTAAGCTAGAGTTAGAAGACCAGGACCGGAGCCTGGCTTAAGTGCCTGTGATCTGTGTTCTCAGCAATACTATTTCTCCAAGCTTCTGGTCTGTCATTTATAAAATAGGGATAATTCTGAACATCTTTATAGATCATCGAGAGGATCTAAAAAACCCATGAACATGAAGATGCTTTATGAACACCAAAGCAGTCTTGCCCAAAGTGCCACTGGGGGAATGAGAAATTATTTTAGGTGGAATATGGACAAACCTTTAAACATTTTTAATAGTTATACAGTCATCTAAATTTAAATTAGAAAAATACAAATAATATATCTACGATTTCATACATAAGATCTTAGGATAAGACTAAAGAAGTTATTCAAATTTAAAAAGTGGCTGAATAGCATCTAGTACATATGTGCCCAATAAATATTTGTTTGATGACTACATTAATTAATAAATGAATTTAAAGAAAAATTTTAAGTGGATAATAATATAAGTAATATGCAGTGTTAGCTGAAGTCTGGGAAATACAGCTCTGAAGCAATAAGCAAATATGAAGCATTTATTAGGTTCATTATCATCAAAGACTTATTAAATAGTAAATGCTAAAAATGATAGTAAGTTTCTCAAAAAAATAACATCTTTAAACTAAAAAATCCTGCTAACTTAAGTGCAATATTTTAATATTTTTTAAAGAATGGGAATTAATGACAATAAATAATTTAGGGTAAAAAGTTGATTTACCTGTGACAAAAAGAATGAACCTAATTTTCCAACAACAGTATAATAGTACTCATAGAAAAGTACTAATCATTCCCTTAAATGGACCACAAGTTTTGCAAATGAACTAACCAATTCCCATTATTACAATTTTAGTCAGCGGCACCATCTAAGACTTTTTTTTTATTTTCCTCTTAACTTTGGATAGCAGTGTTTTTAAATGCTATAAAACTATATTACAGGATGGGCGTAAATCTACTCTAAATGTGATAAATTACTTATCAATCCACAACACATAAATAGAATGAAGTATTTTGGATAAACTCCTATTTCTAAGAAAACAGAGTTTAAAAGCTCATATCACAGAAGCATGTATTTGCCTCAGCCCTGACATTCCATTTGCCACTTTCTGTGTGAAAATCATATGGACAAGCGCATGAACTCTGTGTTGGGGCTCAGTTCTCTGTGTGAAAGGAGACAGGCTTCCCATCCCTCTTTAATCTCACTCAGGAAAAAGAAGTTCACAATATTCCACAAACTCACTAGCCTTTTTACTTAGTTTAGTCTTTTTCTTGATATTCACATTTTCGGTCTTGTCTAGATCTTCATCTTTATTTATCTTTCAAATTCTGATCAGGAATTGACTTTGTTAGCCTGGATTTTATCTTTCTTATTACTTTTCAAAAACTGTTTTGCTCCCTTTTCAAGGGGACGCTGGTCCTGACAGGGCACTGATTGCCCCTGTCACACCACCAGCCCAAATGTAGCCCAAATGTTGTGAATATTGAGGTACAGAGAACAGGATTCATTTTCAGCAGGAGCTAAGAAAACAGAAGAGGCAAAGTGAATACACAAAGAACACTTTCGACAGAGAATTATACTGCCAAAGAATGCAAACAGCTCACACTGATAAGAAAGCACAGAAAGAGTGTTCTTCAGAGTGAAATGTTTAAACATGGCTAGAGGGCGCACCTTCTTAAGTTACACACCCACAGAACGCAAGGCAAGCTGTCTCTGCTTATGCTCCACACTGTCAAAACATGTGTGCGTGTGATGCTGAACCGACACACAGAAAGTGTATTGCCCCCAAATAAATTTGGTGATGAGTTTTAATAATGATGAGTTTTGTCAGCTTTGAATGACTACTCAGAGAGCTATTTTTTATCTCTGCCTGACAAATATAACCATGTGGAAAAAAATGGAAGTGTGATTCCAAAGAGGGGGCACCCTATCCACTGACGATTTTAAAAACATGTCTTCATTTAATCAGGTGGTGTTGCATGGAGACATAGAGCTTTTCTCAGTAACAAGGAAGTGTCTCTGTACCTGTCCAGCAACAGGTGTTTCTGAAAAGAAATATTTTGGTGCTGGTCTAGTAAAAATCTTTTCTTAAATTTGGCTTGAGTTGGAATACACTTCAAGTGTGAGAGTAATGAAATAGGAAGACCAATGGGACAATGTTCAACAAGAGGAAAAATCTATGCAGAAAAAAAAATTATTTTTGATTATTATTGCTTAAGAGGCAACACTTTTAGGCTAGTTAATGTAAAATCAAGGATGACAGATGACAATTATGAAATAAATTTTAGAAAGCAACAGCATTTTCCCTATTTTTAAATAATTCTTAAAATAAATACATAAAAATAACCATTTCCCCCCATAGTGGCATAGGCTTAAAAATGTTTGCACATTAAGGCCTTTAGATATAATGCCAGGGGTAGCCATTGCCCTTTCCAAGAATTTCTTAGCACTATGCCGAGAGCTGGAAGTGCATCTCTCTGGCCATGACTACGTTCTAGAGAACAGCACTGAAGTCTTATCCTTGCCACTTGAACCACAAGGGATAAAAGGTTCACGGTTCGGAGAGAAACTTGCACCATTTATTTAGAACAAGAGCTATCTCCCAGAATGCATTTCATCACAAATTGTTAACAAAGGGAAAAAACATGCTAGTGAGCACTTCCTGAATGGTATAATACAAGGCACATAACACTCTCCAGTGCTGTCACATAACTTCAACATTAGGACAGCGGTTCAGATCAACTGTTAAAAAATCTCTACTAATAAATATTGTTGTATGTGTGTGGAGTGGGGTTAGGTAGGAAAGTAGAGGAAGAAAGTTTGAGTTGATATTTTTAGAAACATTGGGGAGAGGCGCCTAGCTTGATTTGAAATGGTAATCTGCGATCCTGTTAATTAATCATTTATATTTTCTACTTTGCCTGTTTCCAAAAAAGAATTTGAAGTGGCTTTCTGAGAACAAAGACCGTAACTGAAAATAATAAATGATAGGTTGTGGGATGGAGGGGCATAATAAATCCATTCTAAAACTTGAGTTAACATGGATTTTATCTTGTGGGATCTGACAGAATCTTGGATTAATTTACTTAGGTGGACACAGAAATAGTATAAAAGCTGAAAGTCTTGATGACATGTACAAAAATTGTTTGGTAAATCTTTTCTTCTGGGACACTACAAAGATAAACACTATGGGAAATGATCCCACAGTCCACATCAACAAGGTAGAATTAATAAGGTTTGACTATAATAAACAAATTGTTTATGGAGTTAGTCTCTTTCTCTCTAGACTTTATTAAATGATGTCAGGCATTGCCACACTATGTAGAAGGGAACCTAAGTAACTGCTTATCTTTTTAAAAGCAGAAGTCTGGTTATTAATATACAAGGCTTTATTTATCCAACATTGCTGGGCATTAAGAGGTTCTATGTAAATAAAATTTACATAATAATTGGTTCACCTGAATAAGAGTACAAATTTTTAAAAACATTTTACTAGAGATCTTTCTGGAAAAGATTGTGCTCATTGTCTTATATGGAAATTAAACATAGTTTAATTTTTTTCTTGATGAACCAGGGTCACCAGTATATCAGGTAGTTGGCTTGGAGTCAGACCTGTGTTTGAAATTTCACCTTTTCTGGTATTATAAAATGAGAACTCTGGCTCACTGGACATCATTAAAGAAGGTATGAGGAAGTCCTTTGTTTTATGAACTATAGGAGAAAAAAAGAAGTTTACCAAGTAGTGCTTTGTATTTTTATGTGCAAAAGTGAGGTGGGTCCTGAAAAGACCAGAGGTTTTTAAAAATGTTAAGGGCCCTAGAACTTTTAATGTTGTTATACTTTGCTCTTTAATGATCGATAAATGTCTCGTGTATTATCATTAATACTTCATTACATGTTTTCAGTTTTTCATTTCTAAATGTGTGCTTTAAATTATATTTTCTGAATTACTAAAAACACTTTTAGTATATCTTGATATTAAGGTTTTTCTTGAGAATGCAAAATTATAATGTCAACCAATGGGAGAAGGAATATTTGAATTTATGGAAGCAATTTTTTGCTCCTGATTAGGAATTCATTTATTACCTAAAATAAAGAAGAAGAATCTGGATTTTAAAAACACTATGATTTTATAGCAAATAAATACCACTCTGCTTATTTAAATGAAGCAAAATAAATGTTTTTTAGACTCTTAGATGATTTTTTTTTAAAGTATATCTCCCCTAACATCAGCGAATAACTGAATCTCAGGAGATTTTGAACACAGATTAATCAGAAAATTCAGACCATTGTTTAATGTGAAATGTGTTAAAAATACATGCCTTTATTCTCCTGAGGACATAAAACGATATTTAGACAAAGCATTTAGGGCAGGAAGAATGTTTCCGGAGAAGGGAGGCCATAATCTTTTCTTTAGTTAAGCTTTTTGTAAAATGGCACATAAAAAAGACTTGGTTCGTTTGCACAGAGATTGTAAAACAGTTCAATGTCTACATCTTGTATTTGTAGCAGTTCCATTTATATCATAAAAGCCCACTTTTGCTGTTTCTAATTATTTCTTGAATAAACTGTCAAGAATATTTAGGTTTATCAACCTAAAGAATGTTTGTCTGGTCTCAGAGAATATAGAGAATAAAATGTTTTGTGAGTAGGAATATGGAATTCATTTTCTTATCAAACATAGAAACATTATGCCCAGACTATACCCTGACAAGTATATATTAGGCAATATAAGCAAGGTTTAAGGACCTCCTGGTCGTTTGGAGAAAGACAATCCTTTTATTGTGCTGGAAAAAATGCTTTTGGTTTCCTGCCATTAAACCTAAGTGCCAGTGAAAGTTTGAGCAGAGTTGAAATAGCTTTATACAATATACTCTTTAAGAGAATAATATATACCTGTAAGAGTAACTTTTATTACCTAAGAAGATGAAAAATCATATGCTTCTTCACCATATGAGGGGAATGTGCATAATTATCTCTTCCTGGTCAGATATAAATTTTTCTATCTACTTTAAACAGTCTGCATATTTCTTGCTTAGTGAGCCAATTTTACCATTTATAAGGGGGGGGGGGCAGGGGAAGCTCAGAAGACCCTTACTAATTTCTTTTAAATTGAATGGTAGTTTCATGGAGAAGTTTTCATTTAATTTATATGATCAGATTGTGCTAAGTAGAACCAGACTATGGGGTTAAACATTTCCATATGTTATAAAGGCCTAGAACTTTTCCTGAAAGGAGACACCATTGTTAACTCAGACATTACCTGCTGCTTCCAGAAAAGGCTGCAACTACACCCAGATTTTACCCCCTCCCCAGCTCTATGTGGCACATGCAAGCACATGGAGGAGACACTGTCCCCTGGTACTTCCAGTTGCCTGGGAGGACACTACTCTGCCACACTCCTGGACCTCCAAGGGCTACCAGGTTTTTTTCCCTAGTCATTGGCACTTGCCTTCCTCCTCTGTGTATGAAATGAAGAATTAGGTAAATGCAGAAAAGGAAGGCAGAGTAGACAAAATTCTGGAAATCTGGTTCCTGGCTCAGAGCCACCCTGAGCACTAGTGTGATCTATAAATGCTTCATAACTCACCCCTTGTCGATATGACATTTTGGTGACTATAACCATCCCCTCTTCATTTTATGCTCCAGAAGCTTGTGAGACCTCAATCAGTCATGGAGAATCCTAATTTCAAATCCAAAGAATCCAAAGTGATGATAACAAAAAACAATAATTGATATCTGAACAAAGGTTAGTATTTGACAATGGATAAAGATTGGTATACCTTCCCTTCCTCGGGGCTTTGTTGACATGAATTGTGAACGTCGTCTTCTCTTACTAATTTTCCAGGCCAGGAAGTCAGTCCTTTGATTTGGCCCCAGACCAAGTCGCCAACATTGAACGTCCTTGGTCTATAATGTATCAACTCATTTGAAGAGGGGGAGTCTGGATTCCTTAGGTCATCTTCACTACTAATGCTTTTAGCGTCTGAAGGGCTAGGCACACACCCATTAATGCTTTTGGCATTAAAGTCTCCATTGTAATGGATGTAGTCTTTGACCAGAGAACTTTCCAAACTATTTGAGGAACTTGGAGACTGCTCCTCTAGGACCAGGTCTTGCTTTGCAGTGCTTAGCAGCTCTCCAAATCCCCGACTCTGTCGAGGTCTGTTCCCATTAATGTGTGCACATCTTTCCACAGTGTTCTCTAGTCTCTCCTTAAAACTCATCATAGTTCTTTTGTAGTTATTATACCTGAAATTTTCCTCCAGAATTTTATCCCCTTGACAGTTTCTTGGTGGTAACAGTATTGGGTGCTGTTCCCCAGGCAGAAATGGCAGTGTAGAGACATTGTTGGACCTTTCGTGACAAGGACTACTGTGGATATGGCCTGGATGATCTAAAAATTCCTCATACTTCCACCTGTTTCGCTCCCCTCTGGGGCTTTGTTCCCCGTCCCACTGTTTTTTGGACGTGTGGCAACTTGCTGACTTGAAATACTCAAACCCATCTCCTTCGTTTGAGGTTTTCCCATGGTCTAGATTCTTGGGCAGCCGAGTCCCTCTTGCATTCCTCAGCCTACCATCATGATCCACACCTCCCATGTTTCGTCCATGAATGACCGCACTGACAGCACTGGAGAGATTTAATGGGTCACCAATCGAGGCAGTGAAGGCACTCATGGCACTCAGAGCTGGAATGGGGCTGATCTGAGTTGTACTGTTGACTGCAGTGGTGATGACAACCTGCATCCCTTTGCTGGCTGCATCGACAACTGCTTTGTAAATGGCATCTACGGAAGCATCACCTTGGCCACCCACAACGAGGCCATCCTTCACCTGCTGACCAAGAGATGGGTCAATCCTTGGTTGCAGCTCACAAGGTGTATCTTGGAAAGGTGGAAGTGCAGCGTTCGGATTCTCAGGAAGTGCTGTGAGCCCCGGCTGAGTGCTTATTCTTTTGTTGAGGAGAGCTGCATCTTCCTGCATTCTCACCTTAAAGAAACAGACAGGAAGCAGTGAGAGAAAGGGAAATAATTTTAAAGGCCTCAAAGAGAAAGGCCATAATTTTAAGATTTACCAAAAGACAGACAGACAGTCGCTTCTCCGCCTTTTGGCTGAGATCAAGTGCAAAAGACAAACAGACATAACAAGGAAGTAAATATAAACAATGAGACTCAAAACTGAAATAAAAAGTCACTGTATAGAAAAGCTTACATCTTGATTATATTTGGGTACCATTTCTTTGGTTAAAATCATTCAAAAGACTTTAAAAAATAATTATCATTACTAAACATTCTCTACAAAAATTAAACGTGAGGTAGTGAGACACAAAATGTTCTCAGGTGATGACTCCACTTATTTAGTGTCATTACAGGTCTTTGCAACTTAGGATTTGAAGAGAAAGTCAAGTCACAGATAACCAAATCAGCACTGTTTAAATTACAAAGAAAATCCAGATTTTGAAAATGGTTTCTAACTCACTGATGTTTCTACTTAACTAAACAAAATACAATATAAAAAATAAAACATATATATTCCTTTTTTAACAATAATATGACACTATAATTTTCAAGTCTTCATATAAGGTAGTAACACCTGCTCCTCAACCTTATCAGGCTACAGGCTGAAGGACACCCCCATGCTGTCAACAGTGACAATGGCTGTCTATAAAAGTGATTCTCAACTGGGAAGAGGTAAAGCTGGGAATGCCTACCAGGGGAGCATACCAAAATTTCAGTACAGGAAGGATGAGGGCAGTTTGAAAAAGTGCCCGAGTTTATTCTAATTTCACCAACCCCATCTAAGAATTACTACTCCAGAACCTTGATACCTTGGATTTCCCACCCAGTGATCGCTCCCTTTCTGTCTTTACATCCTTCCCTGCTAAACAAGAACCTGGGGTCCATCATCACACATCAACTTCTCTCTTGCTATTATTATTTTGTTTACACCTACCAGATAAATCCCAATCTCGGGTCAAGTCAACTTCCTACCTCATCTGTATTTACAGATGAGGATGTATTTATAGTAAGGATGCTCAATATTTGTCTAGAGGAATTTATGGCTTCTATCTTCAGCTAGGGGCTTACTCCTACCCATAATCCTGTGGTCTTCTAGTTAGATATCACTCTTATTCTCCACAACGATTCAAATTTTCATTTATTTCTTCAAGCCATCTTCTGCACTATTCTTAGTAGATGACTTTATTTAACAGAGAAAATGGAGCATATCAGGCAAGAATTCTCATAATTTCTCATACTCTGATACTGCCTGCTCCTGGCAGTACATACTTCTCCACAGCTATACCTGTCCTAAATCCTGTCCTGCTTCCCAGTATAAGAGGGCCCCTTCTGCCTCTGAGGGTAAGCCCTCCATTTATGCTCTGGATCTCAACTTCCTCCTCAGGGATCTTCCCTCACCTATTACCCTTCTCTTCTTTATGGTCAATCTCTTCCCCTTTTTTCACTCTTTCCTTTGGCATTATATGCATGGCTTCCATATTTTAAAAGTTTGCATCAACCTAACACCTACCTCTGGGCACTGCCTTATTTCTCTTATGTCTTCATAATTAAGCTTTTTAAAAAATAAATTTTATTGTATGTATTTGAGGTTAATGACATAGTGTTATAGGATTCACCTAGATAGTAAAATGGTTACTACAGTGAATCAAATTAACATTTATCTATCATCTCACAGTTACTTTTTTTGTATGTGTGACAAAAGCAGCCAAAACCCATTTATTTAATCTATACTCCTTAATTCCTAACCTCCCATTCATTGTTCCATCCTTTGTAGCCTGGCTCCTGCTCCCAGCACTCCACCAAGACTGCATGCATTCTGCCAAGTCACTGCTGACGTCCTAATTGCTAAATCTAATGGCTTCTCTTCATGCTTTATCTTGCTTTCTCGGTGACACGGTTGGGCATGTCTTCCTTTTTAAATTATTTTTTTTACATAAGAGATATGTAAATATTTTATCATTTCAAAAAAGATAAAGGTTTTCTTCATCACTACTCTTTACCCCAAACCCACACTTTCCCACCTCACTCTAATCCCATCTCATTTCTCAGAAGTAACCAGGGCTGGAGTGCGTGCTTACAGATACTTTTAAATACATTACAGTGTGCAGGTGTATAGCTAGTTCCCCTTCTTCCTTTCCTTCCTTCCTCTGTCTCCTCCTTTCTTTCTTTCAACATGAATGGGATTGTACTGTAATACTGTTCCACAATACTTCAGCACTAGAGTCTTAAACTCTTACAGATCTTTCCATATTAGATTATATGAATCAACCTAATCTTTTAAACTGCTAGGTAGAGGGGGTATAGTGTACCATAACATATTTTACTATTTCCCTACTGATGGATACTTAAATGGTTCAAGACTTATAAATGGTTCATAATTTTTGACACCACAAATCATGCTGTAATGAATGTTTCTATATGTGTTCTTTTGTTCACATTTGAAGATTTTTCTAAAATAAATACACAGAAGTTGAACTTATGGGTCCAAAGGTACATATACTTTAAAATCTGATATATTATTAAATTATCCTCGAAAAGGATTGCATTAGCATAGAATCAGATCAAAAATAACCTGAGAGATCCCATTTCCTGCACCTTTGTCAGCCCTGTATATCATCAATCTGATGGGCACATTAGTGTTATAATTTGTGTAACTCTGATTATTCTTTTCCTATGTTTATTAATCTTTCCCTTTTTGTGAATTGTCTGTTCATATCTATTGCTCATTTTTTAAAATCAGTTTGCCTTTTTCTTCCAGATTTGTAGGAACTCTTTTTATATTTATAGGAAGTAATTATTTGGTATGTATTATGCAAGTATTTTCTACCGGGATGCCCTTTGTCTTTAACTTTGTTTAGAATATCCTTGGCAAAGAGACTTAAAAGTTTTGGCCGGGCACGGTGGCTCACGCCTGTAATCCTAGCACTCTGGGAGGCCGAGGTGGGTGAATCCCTCAAGGTCAGGAGTTTGAAACCAACATGAGAAAGACTGAGACCCTGCCTCTACTGAAAATAGAAAGAAATTAACTGGCCAACTAAAAATATATAGAAAAAATTAGCCGGGCATAGTGGCACATGCCTGTAGTCCCAGCTACTTGGGAGGCAGAGGCAGGAGGATTGCTTGAGCTCAGGAATTTGAGGATGCTGTGAGTTAGCTTGATGCCACCGCACTCTAGCCTAGGCAAGAGAGTGAGACTCCATCTCAAAAAAAAAAAAAAAGTTTTATATATTCAACTCTGTTACTTCTTTTCCTTTTGACATCCTTGGTTTTGTGCTATGCTCAAACAGCTTTCTTTACCCGAAGGTTATTTTTAAAAACTTTCTTTTTTCTTATATTTATTTAGTGTTATTCTTCCCATCTAGTCCCTTAATCTACCAGGAACTTAGTCACTTTGAAGAACTAAAGAAAGACAATATGGCTGAAGCCAGGGGGAGAGTGGTGGGAACTGGGGCTGGAGAGGAAGGTTAGGCAGGCATGTTAAGGTTGTGGGTCTCAATGACGAGAGCAATGAGAAATGACAAAAAGGTTTAAGAGGGTCATATTATTAGTTTTTACTAACAGCTCCAAAAGAACTACTGAGATGCTTCAGACAAAATAAAATAAACTTCACACAAAAGACTGGAATGCTTAACAATATTCATGATCGAGAAATAACAGTGTAATAGAGGTGAAATGGCACACAACCTACTTTTTTCTCCCATTCCCCAAATTAAGTGCTCAAACAAACCCAGACATTGTTTTCTTCTAACATGACCCGGGGAAGGAGAGTACCTGAAAGTTCTGAAACAGACATGCCATGGGGTTATTGTTAGCTGGGCAAGGAATTGTGGACTGTCCTTGGAATGCCTGGAGGTTCTGGTACCCCTGGAGAAGTTGCTGTTGTTGCTGATTTGGAGGAAACATCTGATTGTTGTTTAACAGCGACTGTAGATGAGTCAGTTGATGGTTATTCAAAGTATTGTTTATTGATGACATATCACCTACAGTTTGAAAACATAAAATATAAGTCAATATGATTCTTCGGAGATTCTGTGCCTCTCTTTGTACCTGACAATTCCTGAAACAAAAACTAATAGCTAGACCTGGTTGGGTAACTCTTTTCTTTTTTTTCTCCTCAAAGTCTTAATAAGTGGTAAGGAAATAATAGCTTTATGATTTAGTTTTATCTTGCATAATTAGTTTTTGGTTTTATATCACGGAAAGACTACTTACTCCTTGCTCTATTTATTAACAAATCCTTATATACTGAACTTTAGTGTTATGTGATTTTATTTTTGTTAGAGCACCTAAAATTAATGGTTAAAATTAGTCCTAAAATATTTTAGCAATCATATTTGACCAAATGATTAAAATGGGTGGGCTTGATTGGGCCTTGTTTAAAAAACTGAGTCTTCAAGCCATGATCATCAATAAATACCACCAAATAAAAATCAGAGATTTGGTTTAGAAATATGCATTTTGTTTTGGAGCTAAAGGTTGGTAACCTAAATTTAAAATTGTGAAAAAAGCTAACAACACAAAAGAATTCATTGTCATAATCATTAAAAATAAGTATTATATAATCAGTAAGATTAATTAATAACTAAATTTATATTCAAAATTCAAAATTGTCTTGAAATTACTCTGACATATCTCGAGGACAATGTCATAAAAATTGTCCTATAACTTGAAGTATATAAATCTATAATGCTTTTTAGGTTATTTAACTATAGTGATTTCAATGCCAAATAAAACTAATTATGCTATATTATAAAGGTGTCCATAAAATCTAAATACAATAATTAAAAATTATTTTTGACATATTGAAGATGCTTTTGACAACATCATGCATATTCTCTTATGTTTCCAGACTTTATGAATACCATTCCTGAACTTTATATTATAGTTACTTGCATCTATCAGCTAAATATACTTGGCATTATTTGCCAACTTTTTTGTGATAGGATAATCTATATTAAGGACTTCGTTTTTAAGCCACAAAGGTCTAAAAAAGCAGTATTTTCTGAGGAAATCTAGCAGCAGCTAGAGGGGCTGTCTGTTTCTTTGAGCTTGGGCAAACTTTAGCTTTAAATGTTTTTACACCTTATTTCTTATTTTGCTGGACAAGCATTTAGTTTTATTTATTTAGGGTTCACCTGGAAAACACTTCCTCAAACTGTTTCCATCCACAGTGCAGCTGCTCATACTAACCCTGTGATGCCACACCAACTAAAATTCAAATAACAGTTATTTTTAAGATGTACCTGTGCTTTATTATTTGAAAAATAAGACTCTACTTGGCTTAAGAAATGATAAGTAGGTTAGGTTTAGGTGGCATCAGAATTAGAAGAGAAAGCAGATTAAAATGACATTTAGTATTGCTAGAAAGGGGGGGAAAGGAGAAAGTCATTTTCATGTTTGTATAACTATGGTTGTATGTGGGTGTTGTTATATTTAGTTCCTTAAGCAAGCTGTGACATAACAAAAACATTTTTAAAAATAGTGTGACAAAATGGAGTTTTTAAAAAGGAGAAAATAGAATTAGAAAAACGTTTCTTTCGTAAAAATTTGTGAAAAAATGTAACTTACCAAGCAGACCTGTCCCCAGTAGAGGGTTAAGTAGCTGTGGCACCACAGAGTTACTGTTGAGTTTAGCTGGACCAGGTGTATTCCCAGCATTATTAGATATATTCAGCAATGTTTCTGCCATTGACACCACTGCTGTCCCACCAAGTGTTGAGACAGTCAGTGCTGCCACTGCTGATGATGTAGTGGTTGTGGTAGTGGTTGCCTGGGAGGAGGTTGCTATGGAAACCTCTGGATGATTAGCAGAGTTGGCCGATGCCGAGTTCAGGACACCTCCCAACAGCTGGGGATTCAAGGCCATTAATCCTGAGGCCCCAGTGACAGCTGGGAGGAACAGGGGGTTAAAAGTAGTGTCACTGCCTGCAAAGCTTGGTAAAGGGTTCCCCAGGGGGCTGGTTAAAAGGGTCTCAGCTCGGCTGTTGTCTGACTGATTGCTTGGCAAATGGTCTGGTGGGGCTGTCATCTGTGTTAATGAGGGTAAAGGGGTATTTTGCTGTTGCAAAAGATCTGAGATGGTCAGATTGAAAGATGGCAGGGGAAGCATGGCAGCTGCTGGGGCTTGGTTCTGAAGCAGGGCTGCTAAGAGCTGAAAGTGAACAGGCTGTAATACCTGCCCATCCATGTCACTGGAGAGAAAAGCTAAAGCAGCGTTTACATTCGGGTTGAGAAAACCTAAAGGGTGGAAGTTGATCTCAGACTTGCCTTCTCCTGCTGAAGGCTGGAGGATATTTAATAGATTCTGGTTTAGGAGATGCTGTTGATTCACTGGCAAAGAGATAGGTAGAGAACTGAGGAGGCTGGGGTTCAAGGGGTGTGGAAGATGGTTGTTTGAAGTGCTGTTGGATGGAAAATGAAGTGCGTGCTCCTGGCCAACAAAAGGAAAATCACTCCCAATGGGCAGCTGACTCTGCAGTGGGTTTCCAGCTGCGGTGGTGACGATGACGCCATCTTGCAGAACAGACGTTGTCTTTGTGATGGCAGGGTGGTTGGTGCCTGCTATGGCTATGGAAGATGACGGTCCTGAACCTCCTAAAATGAAAAAAAAAAAAACACCCTAGTTATTAATCATGGAAATTAAGCAAGCTAGCCATTAAAATTCATCAAGATACATTTCAGTTTATTTGGTACATGGTACCCTCATTGACTATAACTAAATTAATTGCAATCAGAGATGCTTTGACATCTGTTAATAGGACTTTAGTTTAAATTTATACTTCCTAACCTACTTCAAAAACGAATGTATTGAAGAAGTTCAGCATATTAAGAAACAGCTGTTGGTAACTACCAAAGAGCTTGTTTTTCACAGCTAGCCAAGGGGAAGATGGAAAAATCCATGTTGTAGTTCATTCAGTTGGGAAGATAAAAGTAACAAAGTTTCATTTTCAAAATACATATTTTTTTCATTTTTAAAAAAGTTTTTGGTCTTTATTTATAAAACTAGTACTTTTTTTAGTGACAAAAAACCCCCCACAATATTAGAATGCATATGAAAGTATAAAGCAGAAAATAAAAAGGACCTATGGAGACAGTTATTATTTAAGTGCATAGTTTTCAGGGTTTTCTCCACCTGCACATATGTACATATGTAGACATACAGATTTACATATATCTACACACACATATTACATATATTTTAAAACAAAAATACAATCTTGCTATAATGCTATATTGTAAATTTCTCCATTTATCAATATATTGTGAATATATTTCCATGTTAATATATATATATATCTATAGAACCATATTATAGTACTATGTAAGGATATATCATAATTTAATCAATCCGCAGTCATGGATATTTTGCTCATTTACAATATTTTGCTATTGTAAGCAACACTATTGTAAGCAACACTATAATAAACAGTCTTATTAGCATATCCTTGCCAGTTTGCCTACTTGTTATCTAAGGATAAATTCTTCAAAGTGGAATTACAGGGACAAAGGTTTACATATTTTAAAAGCTTTAGATACATACTGTCAAACTACCCTTCAGCGAAGATGATCAATACAAATTCAATTAACATTCCTATAAACAGTGTATTACAGTGCTCATTTCTCTCACCAATGCTCCATTTTATCATTATTTTTAACAATGAATAAACATAACAATAATCTTTGCCATTCTGATTGTATAGATTTTATACTTAATGATTCCTTAAATTAGACCAGTTTTTACTCAAATAGTATTATTCTTAAAAGTCTCCTACTAGAGATGAAAGTTCAGGGAATTTAATATTTGAAAATATAAAACTTTACTTATTTATAATTGTATTAGTGGTTCTTAACCCAAGCTGTACAATAGAATTATCTGGAGAAATTAAAAACAAAAACAAACCAATACCTGGGACCTAAACCAGACCAGTTGAAAACTCATCTCTTGGGATACAGCCTGGGCAATAGTGTTCTTTGAAATCACCTCAGTAATCCAGACACACCAGGGGTGGGGGCAGGGTGGGTGAGAATCATATTCTATTGAAAAGGAACATACAACCACTTTTTTATAAAGGGTCTTTCCCTCAAGAGATGTATTGTTTCATGTAATACATGTATTTGACAGATATTCTATCATTATTATAAGTATATGCATTTGGCCAGGTGCAGTGGTGGCTCACGCCTGTAATCCAAGGCAGGAGGATCACTTGAGGCCAGGAGTTTGAGATCCGCTTGAGCAACACAGTGAGACCCTGTCTCTACTAAAAATAGAAAATTAGCTGGATGTGGTGGTGCACGCCTGTAGTTCCAGCTACTCAGGAGGCTGAAGCAGGAAGATCAATTCATCCCAGGAGTTTGCGGTTGCTGTGAGCTTTGCTGATGACACTGCACTCTAGCCAGGGCTACAGAGAAAGACCCTGACTCAAAACAAAAAAGTATATGAATTTAATTTTATTTTAAAATATTAAACATGTATATGGTACAATGAACAATACCAGTATCACTGAAAATCTAAAATAATTCAAATACTTTACTGCTATGCTATGCCATTGTAACCAACTTTACATTTGACCATGTTACCATTGGGGCTTTGTTCAAATAAATACACAGAAATGTTTCCAGGAGTACCAATATAATTTTATATTCTTTTTGACTTCACTTAATAGAAAAACACAAGAATTTTCTGTTTTGATATACAAACTTTGTATTTTTAACAGTGTAGTATATGTATTGATCATATTTATTGAACCATTCTGATAAAGTTGGCCATTTATATTTTGATTTTTCATCATTATATATAACATAGAGATGAAAATCTTTCTGTGTACACTTTGCTACCTTTGAATTTTTTCCTTAGAAAAAAATTCATGATTGTTGTGAGGATTGAAAATAGGTAAGTGAAAGGTTTGTAATGTGTACAAGTTTATATAAATAAGAGGAATTATTATTGACATTAGTGGTCATAGTGGTGGTGCTGTGGTAATAGTAAGTATAAATCAGCACATTCAACATACCTTAGAGAATATTCTATAGCAAGGATTCGTAATTTTTCCCAGCTGTCATGGTCTGCTTTCTTTTTTAAAAGTTTTCTGTGTTTCATTTAAAGAATGAGATAAAAAAAAAACTCTCTGAAAACATATACATATTTATGAAATATTACCATGAAATAATGACTGTGTTCACAAAGAGTAGGGTAAGAGATACCAAATGCTGAAGTAGATATATGATATATAATTCTTTAAATATTAATTCAGATTTGTTACACAAAAACAATCAACACCTTAAACATTTCATTGCTTCTGAAGTCTTGCTGCTATTTCCATAAATAGGTACTGTGAATTATTTGCATTTGGAAACCATCTTTTTAAATGAGCTAATAAAGAGTCTTATTTACTAGCAATCACTATCTGTGGCAATTTTTCCTATCTGTTAAATAATAATGGCAATATTTAAATGTAGAGATTTCCATTTCTATAACCATAGGCAAAGCACATTTTCAAAATACTCTACTATGTACACGACAAGGCTTTGTAGAAGAAGGTTTTCCTTAGGTTATTATTATTTTTTATCTTTAATTTACAACAGAGAAGTATACATATTTATGATTCAAGGAAGTAGCCATTTGGGGATAACATTATTTTTAAAAGCTCTCCATCTAAATATTCTTGAAGAATTATACTAGAGAAAGTATAGGTACTCTGGGTGTATTTTTATCTTACCAAAAAGGAAGTGGTGAATACCATAGCTTCTTAGGGGTAATATATGAATCAAGATGTATTTTTTATTTTCTCTAATTTTCAACAAACTAATGTAACAAACAGGTATACTCTTCTGGACAGTAAGATAGAAATGGTGGTATAAATTTAAAATAAAAAACCCCAAAACCCAGATTTTTCCTGCAGGAACTTGGAGTTTAGGCAAAGTGATAAACACAGAAATCTCCCTTTCTTTTTCCTCTCTCAAATATATACTTATTTAGAGCTTATTATGAACAAGGGAATTTTAAAGCTCATTTCACATACTAGCTAGTGCAACTCTAATGCAATATGTTAAGACCTGTAACAGGTATGTAACAAGGAGACAATTATAAAACTGAAGGTGTCAGGGAAAACTACACAAGCGGTAACATTTGATCTGGGATTTGAGAGATGAAAAGGAGATAGAAAGGGCTTCTAAGTAAAAGCAAAGTCATTTAAAAAAAAAGACAAGGAGATAATAAGGTGAATGAAAGGTAATGAAGAGTCCTGTGTTTCCCCAAAACAAAGAAAATATGACTGAAAAATATTGTGAGCTGTTTTCCCATGCTCCCAGCTCCCCCTAGCCATGGCCAAACCTGCTGCTTTAGATAAGCACTAAAGAAATTGAAATCATCTTTCTAAACCATTAAAGGCAAGAATCATTTCTTATTTCCCTTTGTATTTCCAAGACCTAATACAGTCTCTGACACATGGTTGGTATTCAAAAAATGTTTGTTGGTTGAATGAATCTATTAAAAAGATCACAAAGCTTTTACTCAACTTTTAGAAGTCAGAAAATTTGATGCTATGTGTGGGTGCTTATGTGGAGAACAGGAAAACTAACTCTCTAGTATATTGGTCCAATGCCAGGAGATAAGGGACACTGGGAAGGAGATGGCTGGAAGATGACAAGTTACCTCCGATGGCTTCTAGATATTTTAAGAAGTTAAAACCACCTTATAGAGGGAAAGGTCCACCTCAAACTAATGAGTTCTTAAAGTCAAAATTAATGCTTGCTGTCATTCAAAGCAGACCTGAATTTGTATGAATTTGAATAGCTGGAGGGAAATTTGGAGATTGCTTATTTCTGGACCAATTGATCTTGAAAAGGCACTATCTGGTGAACCTATTTCATAGGTCTGCATAAAAACTTTATGGTCCATTGAAGCATGTGGGGAAAAGTGTTTTGTTAAAGCTGGGTTTTGTTTTGTTTTGTTTTTGTGGCCAAGATGTTTTGTCCTTAATCTAATAAAAGAGGTGGTTACTGAGTTTTTAAAAAAGCAAATTATTCACTAGATGTTTAGCAGTAAATAAGCAAAATGCAGCTAGGAGATTAGAACAAGTTAGTAAGCTGAAGAAGTACTATAATTGAAAAAAATAATTATTTCATACCAGCCAGCAGCACCATGAACAGGCAAATTTTTTTTCTCATTGTCTCTGTTGCTTTTAAAGAGTAGGAGAGAAGATAGGAAAGCCACCCAAATAAACTTAGCTGGTGTAAGATCACATGCCTAGTCACCCAGAGATTGAGATTGTCTAGTCCAATGAGGAAGCAACAGTGGCAGCTTGCCCAGTGGGGTAGATTTCTGGATATAAACAGTACTCTGCACACACTTATAATTTATAATATAGATGTGTATACAATGTGTGTGTATATAAAATAGCATCAGTAAATTTTTAAAGAATATTTTCCTAATATTAATTCAATTCTTAAGATGTTTTATCTGTCTCATTTTTTACACTGCTTTTCAAAACAAAGGTAATGTATACCTTTTTAAATTTATTTCTCTTCTTCCTGGTCACCAAGTCATTGTTTATATTGTGCTAATCTCTTATATGGCTGGGTCTTGCATATTGATA